AGGTGGATCCTTGAACCCCGCAGTATCGAGACTCGGAGGAATTGTGATATTTTTGCAATATTTTTTGAGTACTTCAGTACTGACTCAGTACTCTCAGGTCCTAAATTCTTTGTTTTCGAACCTAACTTAGTGCAACGTTTTGTTTATTTCTGCTATCTCCATGTGTCTTGCGCACAAGAAAGGTGAGAAACATGATACCAAACATGTCTTGATCGATCTTTCCCTTCACTCGCTGACCGCACCGCAGGCCTTGAGCACCCGAGACGAAAACGCGTTTGACCGCGAGAGTCTGATCGACCGCGGTGGTTCTTCTCACTTCGTTTGTTGTTTGTAGATCCTAGCTCACCCTTGGTTCGGCTCCATTGTTTCGACAGTGGCAGCGGAGCCATTGGTTGCGCTACCAGTGCTCTAGCCATGGACCCTTGGACACATCCTGCTGTTGACCCCTGGAGAAACTATCAGGGTGGGAACCCCTGGAATGTTGCTGGCATGTCAGGTTTTGGAACCTTTGCAACCTCAAACGGTGCGGCTTGTTCAGGAACGTTTTCAGGTGCAGGTGGGTACCAAGGTGGACCAGCTGGAGCTCCGCAGATCTTGAGGCCGGAAGGCACCGCCACTGGATCTTCGATTCATGGCACAGGTCAAGGTACTGCGGGTGACCGCCGGTTGCAACAACCGTGTATGAGCCCAATACCAGGAATGCCAATGAGCTCACCACCTTATGTTGGGCAAGCCTCTCAAGGAGTCGGGTCGCAATTTGGTGGTGGTCTCAGTGGGCAAAGTAGCGGCAATGGATGCCAATCAGGTTTTGCTGGGAATCTCTTGCAACATTTAGATGCCAATGCAGCACCCCCTCAAACGAGGACAGTTGGAAGCGCATTTGAGTTGTTTGGGAAGCCTGTGAATTCGTTTGCTCACTCACCAAACTCGTCTCCGTCCACGCCACAGCAGCAGAATGAATTGATGTTGAAGGCCCTCACGGCAGCTTTGAGTGGGGACAAGAAATCCATTCCCTCCTGGAATGGCAGCGTTGAGACCTTGAGGCCCTGGCTTAGACAACTGAGCTATTGGGAACTCGACAACAATGTGCCTCGAAGTCGTTGGGGCATCAAACTACTGCAGAGCTTCACTGATGGTAGTGCACCTAGAAAGATCGCCGAGACCCTCGACTTGAGCATTGTTTTGTCGGAGCAAGGCTATGGAAGCATTCTGACAGAGATTATGACAAAGTATGGACCATATCTTGAAGCAATTGGTCCAGCAGCTGTTGATCATTTTTTCTACGGCTTTGAACGATCTCGCCAGGAAAGTTTCAGCACCTACATCGCTGCCAAGGAGATTGCGCTTCATGAACTTGAGGCACAACTGGGGGAGAAAGTCCCTCCTCGCATAGCAGGTCGTGTGTTGTTGCTTGGAGCAAATTTGTCGGAGCAGCAACGGGAGAATTTAGCAATCAGGTACAATGCATTGCTCAAATTGCAAGAGCTCTTCGTCCTCTTGACCGTCCAGAGGCTTTGGTTGGCAAGGTCAACAAGACCTTCATGACTGGCCAAGTGTCCCATCGCGAAGGTGATGATGCCCCGCCTCAAGAGCACGAGGAGGAGGAGGAAGAGCTGATATTTGAGGAGGATGAACCGGAATCCGATGGCGAGGGAAACCTCACCTATTTGTTGTTTGATCAGAGTCGTGAGTATACGGAAGAAGAGACGCAGTACATCTGGGCTTACAATTCAGCATATAGAGATGTTCGCAAGGACTTGCAAGCCCGTCGGAAAGGTAGACAGTACTTCAAGCCCAAGGATTCAGCCTTCAGGAACAAGAAGGGAGGTGGCAAAGGCTCCAACAAGAGTCGCTTCTCTTCGAAAGGTCGTCCAGCAGATCGTGATCGCGATCGAAAGAACAAGGGTTCTCCAGGCGACCTCATGGCCAAGACTCGTTGTTTCAGGTGTGATGAACTTGGACACATGTCAAAGGACTGCCCGAAGCGTGAGAGTGTTGGTTTCTTTGTTGTGCAAGGAAGCAAGGGTTCAGTCAACAAGACATTTGTTTCCACTGTTGGGTCTATCACACCGGAAAACGTGTCGATTCGGGCTGTGACTGATGAGTGTTCACCGGACATGTCACAGCTTGAAGATAGCAGCAGCACCAATCGTTGTTTTGTGAACATTGCAACAGAGTTGGAACGCTCAATCAGTGTGTTGGCCGGTGTGCATACAGATGGGCATGAAGCAATTGTCGACACTGCAGCAGAGGAGGCCGTCGTTGGGTCGACAGCTATGCAAAAGTTGCGAATGGCTTTAGCAAAGCATGGTTTGCAACCTGTGGCGGCAACTGGTGCATCTGTCAGTTGCTCAGGCATTGGAGGAGCTGCGAAAATTGCTGGTGTTTGGGACATTCCATTGGGAGTGGCTCGAACAAATGGCTTGATCCGAACCACAGAAGTTGAAGACCAAGGATCGTTTTGCACTCCTTTCTTGCTGCCCATCTCTTACCAAGAGCTGGTTGGGGCCACTATCGACCTTGACAAAAGTATTCTTCGGCTACGGAATGGTCGCAAGACCATGATGAAGAGGACTCCTTCAGGACACAGGTCAATTTCTGTGCTGGAGTTCAATGGTCGTTGGTCACTTCCAGACTCCTTGAAGTCCGAGTTGAAGATTGGTGTTGACAATCCTTTCCTCCTGCCCGCTGACAAGAAGTCGGATCGGTTTCAACAGAAGCCTGGAGTGGCAGTGTGGTTGAAAAAGGGTCAAGAGACAATCTTCATGGGCTTGTTGGATGGACCTCGCAGAGCACTGGTGCATTCTCATGAGGTTTTTCCTACAGCAGATCTTTCACAGTTGGGACCATCTAGGAGCACCCATGCTATGTTTTTGGACCACCGCTCCATGACCATCACCGATCTTTGGGGTTCAGTGCATTCTCGCCAACTCCCTCTTTGGTCGGGTGACGTGTTTTTCGAGTTTTGTTCGCCTTCGTCGTCTTCTTTGACCTCGTTTTCGCCGGCGCCTTCGCACTCCCAGGCTGGCATCGGCTCACAAATTGGCGAGAAGATGCAGGCGAGCCCACTTAGCTCGAGTGCGCAGCAGTTTTCTTTGCAGGTTGAAGATTTGAGTGGTCGTTCATTGACAGGTGACGCATTGTGTGCAACAGTTGAACCATGTGAGTCACTTTTGAGATGTCATGCCACAGCTGTTGATTCAGTGTCGCATCCTCAGATTTTTGGCTCACTGGTTCAAGCCGCTGATCGAGCTCCTGACGATGAAAGCCAGAATCACCGAATGCATCAAGAAGGAAGAACAAGAGACCACGGTGATCAAGAGGGAAGGGCCTCGCACCACCTATCAGCAGAGGATCAATGCTTGGTTCCGGATGGTGCGTTTGATTCTGAACCTCATTACCCATGCCAATCAGGAGTACGCGGCCAACTACCTGATGACCAGGCACAGCCTCGAGGAGATGCACGAGGAAGATCGTGCGAGGGACGACAAGCGCCGACAGATGGAGCGAGAGAAGGAGCGGCAGAAGAATCGCGTGATCAGGCGAGGAATTGGGCAACCGCTTTCTCGATCGGTCGCCTGCAAGACTTGGCAGTTCGAGCCAGCCAAATGTGTCCATCCAGACGACCATTTGCGACAGAGAGCCGGCCGCGGTCATTTCTGGTGGACATGTCTCGCCTGTGGCTCCAGATGGGAGCGTCTCGAAGCCTCGGCGGACAAAGCCATCAACCAGCCGGAGGCAAGTTCAAGCTCAGGTCAAGTCGCATCGCAGGTGGTGACAGTCAAGTCCACATCCACCACGGCATGCCCTCAGGTATTGCCAGCACCCCGGTACCGTCCGGACCTCAGCGATCTGACCTGTCAGGAAGAATCCACCAAGCCTCGCAAGACCATCAAGGACTTCCTCATGGCAGCGCAAGACCAACCGCCCTCCAAGACTCAGGGTCCCATGCCTATCGTCAAGGACGAACGGTCGCCATCGCCCCGTCGTCGACTGACCAGTGGACAGCGACCATCTCAGGAGAGGGCACGGCAGAAGACCCATCCGGCATCGCCAGGTCCGAGGGAGCAGTACGAGATCCACTCTTCCGGGGAGGAGGACAACCCCTGGGACGAGGTGACGGTGGTGACCGAGACTCTTTCCCCATGACCAACCAATCTTCCCAGAAGGCTGCAACCAGCCCCAAAACAAAGGGGACTGGAAAAGCAGCCCTTCTTTCAGTGTTGGTGTATATGAGTGTGTTTCACCAGAAGGTCACAGGCGACCAGTTTTTGCAGAGTTTAGGCACCATGGAAGAGTCCTCCAGTCCATCAGAGGGCCCATCCGTGGATCCCGCCTTGTTTCAACCCAAAACTATCAAGCTCACTCCAAGCACGTTTGAATTGGGGAGCACGGATTTTGACACACCTCCTCAGTGGCTTGGAAAACAAGACAGAGCCATTTTGGCAAACTCAATTCGTAACTATGTGGACCATTGTGCTGAGCTGTTCAGTCCACCACGCATCGTTCCCGTAGCAAAGAAAGCCGGACTTCGAGCATCACTGTCAATGGATCTGACAACCGGCTATGATTTTCTTTTGAGGCAGGATCGGGAGCGGGCATGGAGAGAAATCAAGAAGAACAAGCCAGCCATCATCTTGCTATGTCCACCATGCAGAACGTTCTCACCTCTCCGCTTCCTTTCAACGTTCAGGAGAAATGTAGACCAGGTGAGAGAGGAGGAAGCTGAGGGAGATGAGTTGCTAGATTTTGCACTTGATGTCATCGATTACCAACTCAGTCAGGGTCGTGGGTTCTTGTTTGAACATCCCAAGCCATCCCAAGCTTGGAAGAAACCTCGCATGGTCAAGCTTCTCGAAAGGCCAGATGTTTTTCGAGTGATCGCAGACATGTGCCAATTTGGCCTTCGAGTGGCTAAGGGACCACTGAAAGGACTTCCGGCGCAAAAGAGATCAGGACTGGTCTCAAACGTGATTGAAGTCCTGGACTTTGTGAACCACAGGTGCCAGAAAGAACATCGCCATGGAAAGCTGATTGGCGGAGTGGCCCAGTTTGCTCAGGAGTACACTCCAACCTTTGTCCAGTCAGTGGTGTGTGGCATCAAGGAGGCTTTGGGCTTCAAAGTCTCTGAATTGGATCGCAAAGGTGCCACCAACTCCCCAAAACAGCAAGACCCAGGACGCAAGACTGGACGTGCCATCGGTGCCATCCTGCATCAATATGCCGTTGAAACCAAGGAACTTGAGGAGCTGATCCCTAATGAAGAAGAAGCCGGGTCAGAGGAGTGCCTAAGAGTGGAGTCCGGTGGCTCACACTCCACCACCCCTGACGACCGGCCACTGAAGAGTACCTCACGCTCCTCACTGTCGAGCTCTTCGTCTTTGAAGAACTCTTCCAAGCAGTCCAGCAGTATGGCATCGATCCAACGAATGACATCGCTCTCACGAATGACCTCAACGTCTTCAAGAGGGCAAAGGAAGGAAACAAGTCAGAGGTCACCAGTCTCATGGCCAGTGACTTTTGAAGATGATGAAGAGTACACGCCATCCATGGCGCCCGAGAATCCAGAAGATTTACCTCAACCTCCTGAGGAGGAGTTTTCAGCAGAAGATGCAGTTCGGGCTCGATTGAGAGATGTGCGTCGAGAACCAAAGGTTCAGGAAGCTCTTGAACAAGTTGAGGACTTCAGAAAAGTAAAGGAAGGTGAATTCTCCTTGGCGCCCCACCTTCGCCGGGAAGTTCACAAAGTGCACAGAAACCTTGGTCATCCAGCCAAGGAAGTTTTTCTTCGAGCTATGCGCCATTCAGGTGTGAAGCACCATGTCTTAGACTGGGTGCGTCACCACTTCAGATGCCCAGCCTGTCAAGCCCGAGAGAGACCCAATCCTCAACGACCAGGCCATTTGTTGCGAGCTCTAGAGTTTGGGCAGATAGTGGGGCTCGACTTGCTATACATTGAAATAGAAGGCGAGCTCAAGACATTTCTCAACATGCTGGACTGGGGCACCAATTTTCAACAGGCAGCCCTCTGCCAGAACCGGACCGCTCAAGAGGTCCAAACAGTTTTTCTCAATCAATGGGTGCAACATTACGGTCCACCCATAGTGGCCGTGACGGATCAAGGACCTGAATTTACAGGCCAGCGATTCCAGGAGGTGATCTCAGGACTCGGCACCACCATCCATTACACGAACTCTCAAAAGTCCATGGCAAAACTCCCGCACGGAACGTGCCGGAGGAGTGTTCAAGGAGAAGTTCAAGGCGGTGTACCATGCCGCGTCCGCAACCAAAGATGAAGTCCCCATGGTTGTGGCTGAAGTGGCGGCTTGCCGAAACAGGTTCATGGACAGATGGGGATTCTCCCCAATGCAGAGAGTCTTTGGAAAGACACTTCGGATGCCGGCAAGTCTTCTCTCCTCTGACGTCCTCGACCAGGAACTCATGGAGCTGGCGGCGACTGACCCCATTCGACGCCAGTGGAAGATTCAAGAACTAGCCTCACAAGAGTGGTTGAGAAGGCAAGACCGCTCGGCAATCCAGAGAAGTGTCCATAGCAAGGCACGCAACACCGACAAGAAAGATTTCAAGCCAGGCCAATGGGCTTACGTCTTCAGATCCACACCCCAGTTTCGGGGTTGGGCAGGCCCAGGTGTCCTCCTGACGGAGAGTCCGTCGGGCACTGGTTGGTGGATGTCCATGCGGGGCAGACTGTGGCAGGTCTCAACAGAACAGCTGCGGCATGCCTCACCAGAAGAAAACTTAGGAGCAGAATTAGTGCTGGAATTGTTCCAAGAACTCTTGGAGCGCCTCAAAGCACCTGGACAAGTCGCCTATCAAGATGTGACCCAAGATGAAATTCCCAATGAAAGCGACTTCCAAGAGGAGGAGCTTCTTCGACTCTTTCGCATCGAGGACCCAGGTGCACCATCGCAGGCAGCTCCAGCCATTGAGGACGACGAGGACATGACTATGACTGAATCCACTCACCTGGATGATCAACCAGCACCAAGCACTCAACCATCCAGTCGAGCACCAAGCAAAGAAGAGCCATCAAGACCTTCGGCGCCACCAAGCCGGGGAGTAAGCTTTATGGATTCAGCTATGGACCCAGAGACTCCACAACTTCAAGATATCCCTGAAGAAGACCAAGTCATGGAAAGCGCAGAGAGGACTGATGAAGTCATGCGAGAAGAGGAGCCCGAGACGCCAAGTTTGCCAAGCGGGCCACCTCCAGAGCTCGCATCACCCATCCGGGTGGATGAAGGCAGCAGCGGAAGTTTTCGCTTTGGGCCAGCGCCTCGAGCGAGAGATGACCGCCCAACTCCATATCCTTTCTTTGAGGCACCGCCATCACTACCAAGGCCTCCAGGCCATTCCTTGTTTGTGGACTTCACCGACTTTGACAAGGCTGAAGATCTGCAAGGCTTGGGCATTACTGGCAGTTTCGTCGGCGCAACTTGGCGCTACGACCGGGAGCAGCGAAGGCAGATCTTGCAACCACACAAGATCCACTCCACCAAGACCTTTTGGTCACACAGTGCCGAAGCAAGCTTCGACTACAATGACAGGTGCGTGTATGTGTCCAAAGCCAAATCCTCGTTTGGACAGGTGGAGTTCTCAAAGCTGCCAGAAGAAACGAAAGTCCAGTTCCGGGCCTCCCGAAAGAAGGAGATGGACAGTCTGATCAAGAATCAAGCAGTGCGCATCCTGAGTGTCGAAGAAAGCCTTGAGTTCGCCCGACTTCACCCCAGTCAGATCATCGACTCGAAGTTCGTCGATCGCTACAAGCCAAAGAGTGTCGAGCTTTCTACACTGGCTGAATATAAGCGAAGGGCAATTCAAGAAGGGCACCTTGAAGCCATTGAGCTTGAGCAAGATCAGCAAAACCCCAAGAGCCGCCTGTGCGCAGTCGGTTGGCTGGATCCTCAGATCCATGAGGTTGAAAGAAGTGCACCTACACCCTTGTCAGCATCAATCCACTGTTGTTTGCAACTCAGCGCTACCAGACGCTGGAAGACAAAGGTGAAGGATGTGAAGACAGCCTTTTTGCAAAGCCTGCCGACGACTCGTTCCAAGATGCTTGCTTGCCGGCAACCCAAGGATGAACCTCTACCTGGCTGTGATCCAAGGCAATTGATTCTTCTCCTGACGGAGATCTATGGCCTTGTTTCCGGGCCGTCGTGGTGGAGGAGAACGCTGTTGAAGCTGGCAACTGAAGAGCTTCACTACAAGGTGAACGAGTATGACAAATGCGTCCTCACCTTGCCAGCTCCAAGCAAGGGCACTGGACATGGAAAAGAGCTCACAGCGGGCTATATGGTGATCGAAGTGGACGATATCATCGAAGCCGGAGGACCAGAGCATCAGAAACTGATGGCAAAGGTGGAAAAGCTTTTGACCTTTGGAAAGATTGAGGAGCTCTACAGCAGTGAAGGCACCAGCTACGCTGGAAGATATCTTCGTCAACTTGAAGATTACAGCTTTGTTGCCCACATGGAAGAGTTCATCTACACTCGCTTGGAGCCAATCACCATGGCGAGAAAAGTCCTGAAGAAGGACGCTGATCGAATTCCTCTCAATGAGAAAGAGAAGACGCAGTTGAGAGGGCTCATCGCCAGTCTCAATTGGGTGGCAAGAGAGTCTCGTCCAGACGCTGCTGCAGGAGCCTCAATTCTGGCATCAGCCTTTCCAGAGCCAAAATTCTCTCATATCCTCCAGGCAAACGATTTGGTGCGTCACTTGAAGACGTTCCCGCTGGAGTTGAAGATACACGCCATTGAGGAGTCCAAACTTCGACACTTCTTGATTGCCGATTCGGCGTTTGATATGTCAGGAAAAGAAAAGTCACAGTTTGGCTTCCTCATGGGCTTCACCACACCAGCCTAGCGAATGAAGGGAACTTCACTCTTTGGGGGCTGAGAAACATGATACCAAACATGTCTTGATCGATCTTTCCCTTCACTCGCTGACCGCACCGCAGGCCTTGAGCACCCGAGACGAAAACGCGTTTGACCGCGAGAGTCTGATCGACCGCGGTGGTTCTTCTCACTTCGTTTGTTGTTTGTAGATCCTAGCTCACCCTTGGTTCGGCTCCATTGTTTCGACAAAGGTTCGGCATTGCCACAGCAAACCTCATCAACGGTGGCCTCTTCTACAAGGCAAGATTTTGGGCATCACTGGAGTGCTGAGCTCGCATCGGCTTTGTGATTCTCCATAGAGGTTTGGCCGAATTCGCTGAAAGATCTTTGATGGCGATGCGATAGTGATGCTACTCCTAGTTTGATTGCTCTAGACTCTAGACAATATGAGCTGCAGACTGTGAATGTTCAAAACAACAACGTGGCGCAAACAGTGATGCAAACAGTCACAGGTCACCATCATCCACGCCCTTAAAGATTGGTCAATCAGCATCTGCCGGTTTGACCCAGAGTTGCAGGGTCACAAAGAATTGGGGGCGCTACGCAGGGCAAAAATCTGTTGTCAATTGTGACAAGTCTGGGTAGAGTAGAGTACCTTTTTCTTGAGAGGTTACCATGTTCCAAATTTGATTGAGAATAAAAAACATGGTAGGCGGCTGATAGAACGCCGCTTCGTTTTATCATCATGACACGTTGTTTTCGTGTTGGTTTTTACAATGAATGATTCTTTTCATGTGAAAATGGATAGCCCAGAACGTCCGGACAAACTACTTCATTTTGTCACCTTTGCTTCCATAAGTGCGTCAAGTGCATTCAAAAGTAGAATCAACTTCATGACGTAAGTACCAGCGAACGTTAACATGCCCCACCCCACCCCACCCCACCCCACCCCACCCCCATCCCCAACGTAGCCTCAACTTCATGACGTAAGTGCCAGCACACGTTAACATGCCCACCCCACCCCCATCCCCAACGTAGCATCAACTTCATGACGTAAGTGCCAGCGCACATCAATTGAAAAGCAAAAACGTCAGCCAACTACATAGACCCCAAACAGTTTCAGCATTATTCTTTGGCGTCAACTCCTTGAATTCCAATGCTGGTGGCAACGCCTGTATTGGGATGGTATCGCTGCAGGGTGCTGCTGCTGTGTGCGTTTGGGTGCTGATGCCGCTGCAGGACACTGATGCCTGGTGCCCCACTGCACGGCGCCGCTGCTGTGTGCGCTTGGGGTACTGAGTGCGCTTGTGAGCTTGGGTGCTGGCCTTGCTGCTGCTGGGTGCCGCTGCTGTGTGCGCTTGGGAACTTCGGTGCTGGTGCCGCTACAGAGCTGTGTGCGGTTGGGAGCTTGGGTTGGGTGCTGGTGCCACTGCAGGTTGCCGCTGGTGTGTGCGCTTGGGACCTTTGGTGCTGGTGCCACTGCAGGTTGCCGCTGGTGTGTGCGCTTGGGACCTTTGGTGCTGGTGCCACTGCAGGTTGCCGCTGGTGTGTGCGCTTGGGACCTTTGGTGCTGGTGCTGCTGCAAGGTGCCGCTGCTGCGTGCGCTTGGGGGCTTGGGTGCTGGTGCCGCTGCAGGGTGCCGCTGCTGTGAGCTCTTGAGCTTCGGTGGTGGTGTCCCTGCGCGCCCCCTGCTGAGTGCGCTTGTTATGAAACGCGGGTCTATGCTGGCGTAATTCTTTTTCAAAGAGCTCCAACAGTGAACTGTTTGGGGAATGTTCGGAATGATAGACAAACTGACCTCGCAAGTTGCCCAGTGGTGTTGAAGCTTGCGGTTGACTGGGGTTCGCAGTCATTGTGGTGAAGAGGGGTGATGATCTCATGATGCTGACGGTGTGCTGGGATGTTTTTGTGATGATTAGCATCTCGAAGCTTAGAGTTTGGAACGAAGAACCTTGGAAACAAAGGTGCTCGACAAACACAGTTATTGGAGTGCGAAGGTGGTGTAAAATTTGCACCAAATGAAAATTCAGTCCAAATTGGAGATTATGTGGCCAGCTCAGACCTGGCACACGCACACACATTGCACACGTCCTTTGTTGTGTGCATCATGACAACTATATATTGGCTGTTTACTGATCATTGGTGGTCCACCCTTCTATTGTGGGCAGGCTTTGATCTACACCGTGCTCGAACTTCTTGGTGGTGTTGCTGCTGCCGGACTTTTCAAGATCACTCATGAGGCGAAAATTTTCAGAGTTGTGAGAGTATTTTTTTCACATTCTTGCGTTGTTTCAATCCTCCAAGCAATTGGTATGGGTTATTAAATGCCCCTGTATATGATTCTATTTGTTTCCGCCTGCCCCGACTCTGGCCTCTTTTCTGGAAACTATCTTTGGGAACTATCCAGGATTAGCGTGGGTTTGTTCTGAGGTCGAAACAGCTTTGCCAGAGAGCAAAGACGTGGATGCCTGAGGGTCTCAAGATCTGATGCGAACCTGATCAGCAGACCCGAAGCCGATCGGCCTAGCGGTTTAGATTCGAAGACGTCAAAGCAGTGACACCGCCGCGTCAGATAGAACGATGCGCCTGGTCAGTGAATCCAATGCTTAACACACTGCAGGGCGACCTGTGGCATTTACAGCCTTTCAATGAAATTAGATGTCTAAGTCTAGGTCCTTAGATTCCATTCTTGTGCCGTGCGTGCTTCCAAACACAGGTCTAATGGGATTCACCAATGATTCACTCAATAACCGCTGTTTCAAGCCTCAAAGTTATCGAATGCTGCATGGGTCAATGCTCATGGCCGTGCGTTTGCAACTGGAGGGAAGAGACTTTGATGGAAGATGAGGCTGGATCAGGTATGTCTTTGACTAGGCACAAAGTGATCAACCAACCAACCAACCAACCAACCAACCAACGCCTCGATATCCCACTTGCACCATGTTCAGGTGATCCATGACTTGGACTCATTCGAGTGCACCGACACGGTGGGTGGCCACTTGCGTTTCTTGAAACCCAAGTGCGACATGGTGATCACCGCTGTCCGTCGTGGACAGGCACAGGTGGTCCGACCGGACAGGCAGATCATCTTGAAAAAAGCGACAGCGAATGAGAAAGCCTTTTATGAGGCTGAGGAATGTGCTTCATTAGAAAGTTTTTTGCTCCTGGGCTGGTCTACAATCTTTTGATTAGTTTTATGTCTTGTTTGATAAGAAGGCAGGCAGAGAGGCGCTTTTGCTTCTAGTGCTTTCTGGATATGTTCTGAGGCCGATGTACTACGGTTGTGCTTTAGTCTGCACAGAGTTTGGCAACGAAGACTATTTGGTGCTAGAGGATGTCGCCCTTTCGAATCCTGTACAATGCGATGTAAAGCTGGGCTTTGCATCTGACCTTTGCAAGAGTATTGTTTTACTTTATGGAACGATTGCAAGTCATTTTGCAACAAATTTGATTTATAACTGTTGTGTCATGCAAAGGAATGCCAGTCGGCGTAGTATTCTTCACACCTTGAATCTTGTCACCTCTACAAAGAAATCGCAATCGACTTCTGGGAAGGACAAGCTTTTCACTACTACTACTCGCAAACTTTTCAGGTTCAACGTGCTGCGCACCACAGTGATGCGAAGTGGAAGTCGATGCGTGTGAAGGCCGCTGCGACAACTTCTGCAAAGGTAGGCTTCAGGCATTGTGGCCTGACCTACTGCGTGCTTTGCTTGGCACTTCAGCCTTCCATTTTCTTGGAATCAAGATAGATTTGCCTAAATTTCAATAATGCAAAATAAGACAAAAGGCTTGCATGTTTGCCACACATTTGCTTGTGATGCAGATAGTGTCACTACAGCTTCTATGTACTGCCAGCATTGCCAAAAGATTGCAAATTGAAACGAACTACTGCTCTAGCTGAGCAATCCTTACCATCCCTCAACTTTGCCTTGTACCAGTGCTGTTTTGTGCTCGATTTGATGCAATACACGGTGCCTCAGAAGACATCTCTCCCAAGGACTGGAAGAGTGGCATACAGGCAGGCCGTCCGCTCGTTGGTTGTGCAGTCATGAGTTTGCGGTCATGCGGTGTTTTTTAAGCGGATTTGCTAGGGGCACTTGCGAAGTGGGGGGTTGCAAGCAGAGCATGTTGTGCATTTCTGATCCTGGCGTTCTCACTCCTTTAGAAGCTGTTCCGCACTTTACGATCAAGATGATCGTCATCCGTTGTTGTTGCGACAGTTTTTGCACATGCGAGGTCAAAGAGGACAAATATGCTGGGCAACTGGTGCAAGCTGCTGACCTTGTGTCTGCCTTTGGGAAATTCTTCAACCAAGAGCCCGGGCGGAAGCTTGGTGGACAGTCGGTGCGGAGCCTTCGGCAACAGCGCCCTTTGCTCCTAGTAGCGTCCTTGCTCCTAGTAGCGATGCCAGGAGCCCCTAGTAGCTTCTTGTTCCTAGTAGTAAGATTGATATTTTGTGTTGTCCTTCCTCTCTTAATCTGTTTCTAACGTCAATAGGTCCTATTCTTTGATAGGTGGATTAATCTTAGAACGTCTGTGAGGATGTAGCCAGTTCCAGTGTTGCTGAAGCCTTGTCCAGGTGTGCAACAAGAAAGTATTGAAACCGGATGCAAATTAAGCTGGGCACAGCCCGTCCCACCAGCACCATGAAACTCTTCGCCAGGTCTCTCCACATACAAATAGTAGAAACATCACTAGATTGGCTCGTTGGTTCTGGTGGAGCTCTATTAAAAATGTGTAACATGCTGAATTCTGAATTGAATTCAGGTGTCCACTGTTCCTGCTCTTTAGGCTCACACCAAAGAGACCTGATATGTACACCAGACAGGACTCAGTCGACGTGTCCAAACACACTCAGGACATGGCCTTTGCAGGGTGCTTTCAGAAAATCTGTGCTCAAATCAATCTCAACCATACATGCTTTGGAAGGCGTGGGTGGAATGACATGCACAGATTTCTGACACGCAGGCAGCCGCAGGCATGGAAACAGGTGGAGCACATGCTCCTTTGATCCTTCTATGAGTTTATCTAGGCCAAGTTGCATGATACCCCTCAACTTTTCACCATTGCTTTCCCTCAACAGTTGCACTGTCGCTCAAGCGAGGTGTCATCGCCAGCCTTGATGGGCTTCGCTTCTGGGGAGCCTCGCTGCTCTTCATGCTTGATGCCGAAGCAATTTGGAACCAAGATGCCGCGTGCATCGACGCTTGGTGCTTTCGTCACCGGATTTTTTCAGTTTGTCCTGTCGCACTCATCACCCCGCTTTGAAAAGAATTAGCTGAATAAGCAAGGGTTGAAGGACGTTTGTAATGCTCACTGCCAGCCCTTTCGGAGTTTTGCCAAGCCGAGGAAGAATCACTTAAAATAAAATTGATTGACTTTGGCAACGCGGTATTCATCGGAGCCGATGCAGCAATGTCAGATTTTGCTTTGATGTTTGACACACTCTTTGCACTTAAGATGGAGGCTAGAGGCTTGCTAATATGTGTAAATCACGGAGCTTTCAAGTCCAATGAGCAAGAAACAACAGACGGCGATAGCCAAGACTGGTGGTCACGGACAACTAATGAGCACATGGGACTGGTGATTGTTGAATTGTTCATACATGGGTATACAGTATACATATATGTGTATGTATATATATATACACATTCTTTTCTTTATATTATATGGATCAGTCAACTGGTCTGACAGAGGAGACGGGCCGGACAAAGAGGCGCTTTGCGCATTGACCAATCTGAAATCGATGCTTGCAGCGATGCTTGAAAAGACAACAGAAGTGGATCCTGCATTCGAAGTTTGCAGGCCAGATCTTTGTGTACAGGATGCGGAGCAGTTGAAGTCAATGGAGGGCGCAAGAATGCTTGCTAGCCTGCTGTCACCGATTCACGAGAAGTCGTAAGGTGGGCATTCCATTGGCTGTCAAACCCGCTTGTTTTCAGTGCCTAGAGCAAAAAAGATGCTTCCGCAGCGAAACAGAGTTTACAAACAAATCGGTCGTGTGGGTGTCGTTCCGACAGCTCTTGCTGTCCCAGTCAACGATCGTCTCAGTCAACGATCGTTTGCATGTGTTGTGCGACCTCTCGGACTCTCGGGCTCCAAGGCCACTGTTCTTATCGACTTGTCATGGTAGCCACAGTGTTCTATGGAGGTCTGCCTTAAGCAATGGCCTCCCCCCTAAGAGCAATGGCCTCCAACCTACTGGCGATGGCCTCCAACCCAATAGTGATGGCCTCCCCCTAAGAGCAATTCCAGCCATCCATGGATCCTGTCCATGTGATCGGCAGTGACACATTATCCAAGCCTGGAAGACAAAGCGAAGGGTCAGAGAGCTAAGATAGACTGAAACACCATTGGTTGGAGAGTCTCCTTGAAATGCAATAACATTTATCAATATTATATTTCTCAATTCAATGAGCACCAGCACCTTTGGCATGCGGCGTCCACGCCTATGGCTGTGCCTGGTGGCTGCACTGGTTTGGACGGTCGCAATCCAGGCGGTGTCCCGCACTTGGTGTCAGGGACATGTGCAGACACGTCCGACACATGAACCAGCGTATGAGCTCTTTTTCTGGTGGCCAGACACGTCCCTTTTCTACACACCGTTTCCTTTTCGTATATGTTGTAGCTCCTTTGTCTGAAAGTATAGAAGCTATCTCATCCAAAAGCCTTAAAGCCTGACCGTGTTTGCTGTGATGTTCAAGCTGACAGCTCTTCATCTTCTCCCACGTGTCAGCAGATGGCCTTCCAAGAGGGAGGCACCGCAAACGCGCCGAAAGGACACAGACCTCGAAACGACGTTTGATGCAGTCGGTGCTTCATAGTGGTACTTCGTAGTGGTGCTCCGTATGTAGTGATGTTTGGTGCAACCAACAAGCCCACCTGTTTCATGCTTTGGACGATTTCGACCAAAGCAACACATGATTTGACCAAATCACACTACCATCAACTGGTGTTTTGAAAGGCGACAGAGTGTCATTTTTCGTGATGCGACTCTGGCAACTCTGGCGACCGAGTTTCCCCGAACGATCCCCGCAGGTTGACCCTTGTTCCGCTCACCTGGGGTCAGTATGGCCTTTGGATCCTTTGGAGCATCGTGACTTCCCTGGGCCCACGGAATGTGGTCTTCCTTGCGCCACTTAGATGGACTCGGCGCCCAAACGGTTGATGTCCATCAATGCCCGTATAGATCAAGGAACCAATCATTTTTCAGGGCCATGGCAGACAGCATGCCAAACTTGTATTTTTCCATTCCAACTGGTCTCCAGACGGATTCGGAACTTTTTAAGGGTGGACATCCAGAGCTCAGGAAGGAAGTCTTCCCGCAGTTGGCGAATACGACCTTCTTCTTCTCTGCCCATACCTCTCCTGGAGTGCGCGGTCTAGTTGCTTTGACCATTGACGATGGCATTTGTCGAGGCAGGCACGTGCGCCAAAATGAAACAGGCGCGTGCAGACACGGCAAAGCTGCACTGGCAAGACCCTGGACACCGTTGATCCAATCCAATCGATCCACAATCCACCTGTCCAGGCGATCGGTCCAAGTCGATGCTCCCGGAGGTGCTGAAGCTGCTTCGCAGCTTCGAAGCCAAGGCGACCTTTTTCCTAAGATGCTTGGTTCAATCAAGGGTTGAGGGAAAAGGGTTAAGAAGGGAGGATGAGGTGCAGTGGGAACTGAGCGGGAGCTGAGCCTTTTCTTGAGTCGTCCGTGTACACAATTTACGGGACAGTGGCAACGGCAACCCATCCTTTTTCCGTTTTGCCAGTTGGAGGCTTTTGATGGGAGATATTAGAGGGCCCTAAAGAAGTCGTGCTTCAAGATGGCGCAGTGGCCGAGGTTCCCACTATGTTCATGGCAACGACTTGCCTCGCTTGGTGTTTGAGGGCCACGAACCAGCAAATCACATGCCTGAGGAGCGGCTCTTCATGCGCAATACATCCAAATTCACTCAATTCAGGAATCCTGAATAGAGTCATGCCTGACTTCCAGAGAAGCTTTCCATTTTTCTTCAACTTCAGTGTCGGAGGACAAAGAATATGCCTCTTCTTCGGCCAAGTCCTTTGAAGCTGCTTTAGCTGAAACTGATGCTTTGCTGAATGCAGCATGCGACATGCTAGCTATTTCTGCAAGAAAATCACAGTTCATCGGCCAAGTGCCTACTTTGTACCATAGAGACGACATTTTTGACCTCCTTACTGCTCACCAGTAAGCACCAAGTGCCTTTTGTGAGGATGATGTGGTGCGGCCCTTCTTGAAGGCTTCACAGAAGCGCTGGTTCCGTGCGCCACAAGCGCGGCTGACCATGGAGATGGCAGAGGTCTTGCAGGTCACATCCCGGTGTCGAGCGTGAATCTGTGACGAACATTTGAGAATAGTGATTCATTCTTGTATCACTTGCTAATGACATATACTGTAGATCGTTATATTATACAAATATACAAATATTGTTTATATATATTATATATTATATATTATATATATAAACATTTATGATTTGAGTCAATTGTTAAAATTTGCGATGTGTGTTGGATGAATTCTTGAAAACCTACTTCTGCTTTGGTGTGGTGGTTGCACACTAACTATCCAACGACAAAGAAGTTCCTTGTGGGCATCTCAATTGGACAACTTTATCTTGTAGCAAAGCCTCTGTTGGTACGCCGTTGTTTCACACAGAAGCTGCTTCCGTTTCTTTCCTTGCAAAAGAAATTCCTGGGTCAAATTCTTGGAAGTTTGTCACAGTATCTCCTCCACGAAAAGGGGCTTGTACTGGTGCAATTCCCTTGTAGCCACAAACGCTACATAGATGAAACTACTGGTTGATCTCTTATCAATCATAAAACATGCTGGACAGACTTTAGATATTTGTGCCGGAATCGTCCAAGCTGTGTTGATTGATTGTCACCTTTCACCTGAGTATTCCATTCAATTGCACACATGTTGCTTACCGCACTTTATCCTTAACGCCGAAGACATTGACATTTGACATTTGGAATCCAGAAAGCCGCTGCTTTGTCCTTGTCACAGCTGGATTGTGCGAACATCGTCTTCCTCGCACCTTCAAAAACGGACCTCATATCCCTCGGTCCGTTCAGGCAAAACGGACAACATGCTTGCAACCACTTCTGACCGGACCAAGTCTGAAATGATGATGTGCAAGCACATCGTGCACGTCGTGCGTCGACGTGCATGTAGTACTGTACTCAGAAGTTGCCATTCCAAGTTTCCTGACGATGTACATACAGCCTTCCTGCCTCCAATTAGATACCGGCACCATGGGAATGGGTTTTCTCTTCACTGAACCAATATAAATATTGTCCACATTTGTCCACAAGGTCCTAGTCCAGACTTTACATGCCCACTGTAATGGAAAGCAGGAGTTTTTTCGTAATGGAGGAAATGCCAAAGCCCCAGGGCGGTTCGCGGAGGTTTCGTCAAAAGGACATTGAGGTTTCGAGCAATCCTCATTTCGAGGAACGATAATTTTCGAGATCTCCACATGCGAATGTCATTCACCTGAATATCTATATAGATATTTGAAAGCCAGCATTGCCATTGCAGGCCCGAAACATGACACATGCATTGGGCGCGCCTTGGCTGGCAATCGTAAAGAACAGTGCAACCAAAGTTCATCCTGATTTTCCAATGTTACACCATTGTTTTTGTTCTTTGAGTGATTGGGTTGTTTTTTTCTTGCCCAAGAGCGGCGTGCTAAGGATTGCTATGCTGATGATTGGGCCATCCCAGACCCGGTACGTGTCGCGTCTGTGTACTTGAGACAGGTGCAGGAAGGATCGGCCGCCTAGCAGAAACAGTCTCAAACCACCTGTGAAGACAAGATGAACACATGGCTGCTTAAGAATAAGGGCACCAATGACCATGCAGACCGACTCATTCAATCATGAACTCAGACCCTGTGTCTTCTTTCTCTTTTGAGTCACATTTTGAGTCACCTTGAGGTTGTCATTATGCACATGCCCCAAGAGGGCTTCCGGCAGCATACTTACGAGGTGCTTTATCGCCATACATGATGGACTTGTTTTGATGCACTTAGTTCCTCATGTCCGAGTGTACGCACCTTTAACACTGCCTTGTGCCCAGTTGCTTGGCGACTGGATGTCCCTGCAAGGCTATTGCGAGAACATCTTAACCTCTTGTCTTAGCTTTTGGCGCTGACCCACACCCCCTACCACGCTTTGGTTGGATTCCTCGGTTGTGGGTGTGTACGACCGTTCGGGAAGCAATCCTTCCTTCATCTTTGAGGTGGCTGGTTGGATCGGACATTGAGCACGCAAACAGTGCACGATTTGTATCGAGCCACTCGTAGCCACTTGCAGCCACTAGAGCTGCAAGTGGCCAGGCCCTCTTTAGAAATAGCCTCAGCTGGCTGCAAGTGACTCGTCCCAGCTTTTTGCAGCTTTTCTTCTTTCGACAGCCAGCTGTGTCTCGAAAGGGTGGAAGTGGCTGCACCTGGCTAGCCCCCCTCTCTCGCTAGAGATCGTCTGGAATGGCTGCAATTGGCTGCATTTGGCTACCCTTCTCTAAAAGGGCGGCAAGTGGTTTTCCCCCTCGTCCTCTTTTGTATGCCTGTCTGCAAGTGGATGGTAGTGGATGCCAGTTGTTTCCTGTGAGTCAACAATTTGGTTTCGCTTGATATAGCGTCACAGTACGATTTGGTGAGCAATGTTGCTTCCTTACTCCTCAGTCTTTTGAACAGCATTCAAAGCTGCAGCTCTCAGCGGAGACGTGACAGGAAGGCGGTGCGGGTGCATCTTCAGTTGAGACACTGCATTAGCTACCCTGATATGTTCGATTGGGCCTTCCGAACAGAATTAGTTATATACTGTATATCATGTCAGCATGTCTGCTTGTGTAACACATATGTTGTACAATGCTGTATATATGCTTTCGCTCTCAAAACAGAACTCTAGTAGAAACATGTGCATATGTCATTGCAACTCTTGCCGTGACAAGCCCCTCTGTAGGCCTTGCGGCTATTCCTGCGTGGTCTGCAAAAGCGAAAGCTACGCGCTGTGACATTGAGCGAACTTCGGCAAAGGGCCCAAGCGAGTGAAAAAGGCGAATGGCTGGGCACGTTGAGCGTCCAGAGTCAAAGTGATCTCAATTCTGGGTATATAGGCGCAAATCCTTGAAGGCTTTTTCAACCGCTCGGTGTTGCGGAACACTGATTTCGTGGTGTCGGTGTTGAACTAGCCTAGCTCCTTCCGGCATCCCATTCGCTCCTTCCGGCTCAAGGATGCTCAAGCTTCTGCAAATTTGACACTCCCTCTCTGAGCCCTCAACTGTGGAGATGAAGCGGGTTCTTGGTGTGTCCCACAGCAGTATATGGACGCAACATTCGGATCGTGTCGTTCTGGACGACCGTTCGGATCCTTCGTGATGTCCAGTTACTCGGACCCACGCGTTTCATCGTTCTGAGACCGTGCGCTGGTTTGAGGTTCGGGGTCCTAGCAGCATTCCTTTTTGTCGCAGTGTCCTTGCTGGACCCTGTACAGCCAAGACGGCTTTTGCAGCTCAGCTGAAGTCAGAGATAGGACGATTCTTGATCAGCTCACTGCAAATCTTTTTCATTTGTTTGGGTGGATTGAGGCGGGGCAAACAATGTCCTCAAGAAGAGTCAAATCTAGTAGTTGAAGATGCCGCACCCCATACTCAGAGAATTTGAGGTCTTTGTCAGTTTCTTGGAGCAGCGTAGATGTCGATTGGGCACACGCTGGACAGCCAAATGAGGACTTTGATAGGCGAGGGAGAGGTTTGCAGGGACTTTTGCGTTTGCTGCATGAGCTACATGTGCCTTTCTTTACTCTTTGCTCAAGATATATAATGCACCCCACCTTTCGCACATGCGGAAAACGGCTGAGAACAACGGATTCAGCATCCACCTGGCACCGTCTCAGGTGGATGTCAAATGCTGGACTGGAGGGGGGTGACGCGGCCAAGTTGACTGATTCTTGCAGTGAATTTGCAAGCTTTCTGCCATGAAAGAATCTTCAACAGTGGGACCGCCCCCCAATAATGCTGTACTCAAGTACTAAGTTCGAGAGAACAGCGTGGTTGCTAAGGATGACCCGGGACCAGTTTCTTCACTCATTTCTTCCAGTGTTTTCATGCCAAGAGACTCGATGATGGCACGATTCCACTCATGACTTCAGCAGAGCCGCGGAGCGGGCAAAAATAGGACCAACACGAACTTGGTGATCACGAAGGTAGCATCCGCATGCTACAACAGCCATGGTTAAACCATGTTAAACCTAATTTCGAAACATGTGTTGGATTGGGGCCGGCTACAAGCACACTGGTTAGTTACAGGAATCTTCAGTCTCTCAGTTGTTTGGTTTGGGCCGTGTATTGGTGTATCTCAGTCATTGCTTTGTGGCTTTGTCAATCACACTATTCACTATTCTTCATGGCCAGGAATTCCACTCCCTGCAAGACAACGTTCGCTCCACTTTGGCAAGTAAACAATACTGGTTGGTGTGTGTGTGTCCACCCCTGTTATGAAGGGACCTATTCTAGCTATCTATTCTCACCTGAGACGGTTTCTTC